AGATGTGAAGGTGATGGGGCACGTGCAGAAGTGCTCCCTGGTCCCTCTCTGCGAGGTGACCGTGTCCTCGCAGAGCAGTGACCTGCAGGCGTGTTAAACACCAGCAGCTCCGGGAGAACTGCTGCAGCTGGTGGCCACCTTTCCCCAAAGCTGTTTTACCTGCTCCGTCTCCTGCTTTAGGCCACAGGTCTCCTCCGGCGAGAAGCGGCCATCGCTGCGTGGCAGATAACGCCAACCTCTACGTGTTCGGAGGCTACAACCCCGACTATGACGAGTCCGGAGGCCCGGAGAACGAAGACTACCCGCTCTTCAGGGAGCTCTGGCGATACAACTTTGCCACGGACACTTGGCATCAGATGGGCACGGAAGGCTACATGCCCAGGGAACTAGCATCCATGTCACGTACGTATGGAAATTCAATTCCTATGCACCGACCCCTGAGGCTATTTTAATCGCTGTCCCTGGTGGGTTGGAAAACCAGGCAAGAGCTGGGAAATCTGCACCCTGCTCCTAATTCTTTGGTAACCAAACCTTGATTCTGAGTTGTTTTTTTTGTTTGGTTTTCTTTCCCCTTTCACTTGAGGCAGAGAGGAAGGAAAAAATCAAACACAAGTGATGGTTTTGGGGTATTTGGCTTGATCTGTGCAAGGACACTGCGTTTTCGGACGCTAGGTGTGTGTGCATTAAGGCAGCTCAAAGCATCCAAAAATAGATCTCTTTGTTCACGAGCCATTTTTAAAAAGCAGGCCTTGGTTACCATGGCATTGAGCTTGCATTCTTCCACTCACAGAGGATTTCAAGGCCAAAAATGCAAACTGTGAAGCATACAGTCTTTATTTGAACAACACTGAACACCTGCTGCCTGCTCTCACCAAAGCAGAGTAGCTCTGTCTTGCTGCATCTCAACAATCATCTCTGCTCTCGTTTTTTTCTCTCCTAGTTGTTCTGCACGGCAACAACCTGCTCGTGTTTGGGGGCACGGGGATCCCCTTTGGGGAGAGCAACGGCAACGACGTCCACGTCTGCAATGTCAAGTACAAGAGATGGGCTCTGCTCAGCTGCCGGGGAAGGAAGCCCAACCGCATCTACGGGCAGGTACGAGGCAGGCGCAGCGCACGCGCTGGTTTTGGGTGTCCTGCCGAAGGCACCTGAGTGCAAAGGTCTGTGCTCCAATAGTAGCTTGAGTTGTTATTGCCAAAATCTGTTAAGAAAACATATATGCATTTAAATGAAAACAGTTAAGCTGTGTTTCTGGGGCTGTTCTTCACAGCCCCCTGGTTTCTCCTGCAGCAATGTGCTTGCCAAACATGGGGAGAGGGAGGACACTCTTCACCCGTGTGGCCTCAGCCCTTGCTGGGCTTTGGCAAATGGGCCGTTACGAGGAGAAGGGAATCCCCTCAGGGAATAGCTGCCTGCACCACGTTCCCAGCCTTGGGAGGCCAGTATTCCAGGCTGGGTATCCGACAGCTGGGTGAGAAGATTCCCCCTAGCAGTATCCGTATAAGGTCAGCGCGTGGTCATGCGGGGCTAGCTGTGCTAGCACAGATCCATCTCTTCCCATGCCTGAAGTGCAGTGTCTCCACATGGATCAGCTGTCACCCTCCTTGGACATGTCTCCTCTGTGGCTCTTTTTTTTTTCTTTCTACTCCAGTGTTAGGTATTTTGGCACCTTTTTGGGGATATTGCCCCTAGTGCAGTGCTAATTTTTAAGCAGTTATTCTGCTCTTCCAGGAAGTCCTGCGCCTCCTGTGTTGTCCAGGAGGCTTTCAACTTTCTGTCCCTTTTCCCTATGCCCTTTAGAGCCCTTTGCTTCTAGGAGGAATATTTATTTATGGAGAGCCCAGAAGGAGCCTCCCGCTGCATCTGCAGGCGCATTGTGGGTCCCTAACTTAAAACATCAATTCCTGCCTGCGAGGATCAAGATCAACCTTACTCAGAGCTCACTGGTCATTGTGGATGATGCAGCATCACTGAGGCTTAAGCTGAGAAATCTCTGCTGGGTTTCAGAAGCTCTTTTTAGGGATATTAATGTTGCTGTGACATTGTTCCGTTGATGAGACTGAAAGGGATGGTTAGCAAGAGAATTCTCGCTCTCCTCTTGTTTCCTTTCCATTACCTCCCTATGTGCTTTTCTCCCTCTAGGCTCTTCTTACTATTTCTCTTGGGAGCTCTTTCCTTCTAGATCCTCATCCTGTGACCGTGGAGCTATTTTCCAATCCTACAAAACCCTGTGGGCTCTTTCCATGTCTTCTGCGCTCAGCCTTCGTGTTCCTTCTGAACACACAATTTGCAGAGCTTTGCATGCAGAGTCTTACTTTCGGAGGGTAGAAAGCCTCTTTTTCAGACACTGATACCCAGTGCCCTTTCTAAGTGTTTTCTTTCCTTCCTCCCAGGCTATGGCCATCATCAATGGCTCGCTCTATGTGTTTGGAGGAACAACTGGCTACATCTACAGCACCGACCTGCATAAACTAGACCTCAACACTCGCGAGTGGTTCCAGCTGAAACCAAACAACATGTCCTGTGACATGCCAGAGGAGAGGTGAGGAGCTTCTCACAAGCAGCACAAACAGATCTAGTTAGCCAAGCCCAAGATAGGCTGTAATCAAAAACAGCAATTGGGTGGTCTGAAAGAGCATTTATGTTAGGGAATCCCAACCTTTGCTCAGGTAGCACGACAGGCTTACAAGCACTCTTCAAGCAGTATCTTTGCCTTTGAATTTTGCAAAACCATCAGTCTGGCATTTAGAGGGATGTAGGGATGAGGCTGGAAGCCCCAGGGCAGGGCACTGAGCTGTGTTGTGTGATGCTAGAACAGAGCTGGGGACCTGCATGGGCTGGTAAGTGCTGAGGAGGAGAAGAGGTTCTGAAGTGGAGGAGCCACACAGTGACCTTGTTGGTTTAGTCTGGGGCCAAATAATGCCTTGTGCTTCCGTAGGGAATTTATGGTGGAATTTATTTCTTTTGAAAACTAACTTGAGGGACTGATACAACATAGGCAAGCTTGAGGTGTTGGCTTAAGCCTCTCATATTTGATAGTATTTCCAGAAAGCCTTGTTGTTGCTCACCTGCACTGTTTCCTTGTCCTATTAAATATCTGTCTTCAGGTACAGACATGAAATTGCACATGATGGTCAACGGATTTATATCTTGGGAGGTGGAACTTCTTGGACAGCTTATTCACTAGATAAGGTAAGGGTGTTTGGAAGTGCTGGGTACCTGATGGAAAGGGGATTTTCGACTGCAGAGCTTACCCAACACAGACTCTTCATCTGTCAGGGAAGCTTGGTAAGAAATAAGATAACTAGGAGCAGAATGTTCCCTATTTCCGTAAAAAATGATGTTACTGCAAGCCTGTTGACATACAAATGACAAATCCGTGGTACCAGGCTACCACACTGATCTGCAAAATAGCTTCATTTCTGCAGACCTGTTATCACAGATTCTTATTAAAAATATTTAGGACATATTTGGCATATCTTGCAGTATGAGGAAGGAATATTTAAATGGAGAGAACTGGAGGGTCCTGGATTTGATCTTTTTTGTTTGTTTGTTTGTTTTTGTTTTTGTTTTTCATTCTAAGCAATATTCTTTTTCCTCAGCTCTGGGGCTCAAATAACAGATTTGGAAATGAAAGCTTTAGTAAGCCCCTATGTTCTGAGTGTTTTCATACCTGCTTAGTCACTGACTGTGATTAGCTATTTTTTTTTCTTTTACAGTCAGTAAAAAGAGGTTTTATTTATAGTGGCTCCCCTGGTCAATGTCTAATCTTGTCACCTCCGTAGCTGCGTGATCGCAGTGCTGTGCAAGCTAGAAGGACTAAGAGCTCTTCTTTGTTCCCTCAGATCCATGCGTACAACCTTGAAACCAACACCTGGGAAGAAATTGCCACGAAGCCACACGAAAAAATCGGTGAGCCTGGAATTTCATGCATTATCTCTTTAAGCCATGGAGTGGCTGAGATGCTCGAAGTCCTTTTTGTAGCCCTGTGTACAGTGCGTGATCTCCCCTGGCTTCAGGACCTTGCTTATTTGCAGGCTTTGCAGTATGAGTCTCCCTGAAACCGTGTAAGCTCAATGGTGCTTTTCTCCAGGCTGCAGGTGAGAGCTGGAGCTGGTGAGGATTGCAATTCTCTTCCTTCCCTGCAGAGCAAATAAGAGCTAAACCTTTTGAAACAGCCAGCTGCTAAATTAGAGATGTGACTGTAGGAAAGCAAAACCCCTAATAAACAAAGGAGGAGACTCCTGTCTGTGCTTGAGCTATAATCACCACTTTCCCATGCATTCTAAAAGCTACTGTAGCCAATACTTTTTTTATTCTCTCCTCAGGCTTCCCAGCAGCCAGAAGATGCCATAGCTGTGTTCAGATAAAAAATGGTAAGCTACAGCTCCTGAAATTTGGTACATCTTGTTACACACCTAGCAGTGAGAGCCCCACTTCTGTGGCCTGAGAGATGTTACTCTCCACTGTGTTTGAGTTGGCTGCAGCGTATAGAGCATCTGAATTCTTCTGGAGGGAGTTTCTTGCTCATTAACTGTCCTTAAACTGCCCAGCTGTGCATGCAAGGGACGTGTCCTCTTGCTGCTGTAGGCAAATTTACTTCTGTAATGGCCAGTACTGTTGCTCTTAGAAATTGTGCACTATTTTACACAACATCCAAGTGCACATTGGACCCGGTTTAATGTAAATTATTGTCTGTTTTAGCCATGAGTGTCTGTGATACTTTGCAACTTGATACTTGCAGCTGGTTGCAAGCTAATGAGCAGATAGGAATAGGGCTCCTGATGCAGCTCTGGGACTAACTGGCCAGTTTTACATCTGCTGGTGTAAACAAGACAAGGCCAAGTCCTGGAAATGGAATTCTTTAGAGACAGGATCATTTAGGGCTTTTTTTAAATAGATTGTCCTGTTCATCGTGGTGTAAATCGGAGATCTGCAATCTGAGGACTAGTTTTCTGTGTGTGTTAGGAGCTGCCTGGAGCTTAGTAGAGTCTTTTGTTCTCCTTGAGCCTCCAAATGCTCTTGCTGCACATGGCTTGCATGGCTCTGTTCAAAGCACAGATTATAGAAGCCTGTGCACATAAAATCCATGTTTGATTGGCCACAGTTTTCAGCTTTCCTCAGATAAGTTTGGATCTGAGGCCTGTGGGTCTGAAAATATGAGAATCTACCTCAAAGCCAGATGTTTCTGATCCCGGGTTACTTAGGGCTTAGTGCATCTTCTTAAAGCAGGAATCTTACTGCTTCTTGAAGCTCTGAGCTGCTGAGCCTGCCCTAATGATGTTGGGATCACAAAGTGGCCTGGGTGGGCATGGGCAGGAGGACAACCTCTTCTGACACTGCTTTGGGAGGTCCCGAGAGGTGCCTTGAGCGGATATTGATCCTGGAAAGACAATCTCCGACTTCAGTCGGAGCACATTCCATAATTCCTGAACGAGCAACGGCTGTTGGTCTTACCGGCATGGTAAGAATGGGGACTTCCCTCTTCCCTACAGACGTGTTCGTTTGCGGGGGCTATAACGGAGAAGTGATTCTGGGAGATGTTTGGAAGCTGAATCTGCAAACGTTCCAGTGGGTCAAGCTCCCAGCTGCTATGCCCGAACCAGTGTATTTCCACTGTGCTGCTGTCACACCGGTAAGCGACTTATTCTCTTTCCTACATAGATTACAGTAGATAACAAGATCTCACACATTAGATTCAACAAGTAATTCTGCGTGCGAGCAGCGATACCTGTTTGCAAAAGAAAGAAACACACAAAAATGATCCCGAGTAACTTTTTTGTCGTGGATTTGACCCATGGAGACTAGCCAGGGTTGAAAAATTAGCAGAGGAAGCAGCATTTTCTCCTTGGAAAACCCCGGTGGGAGGAAGAGTGTCTAGCTGTGACTTCAGCCTCCTTTAGCAGTGCCACAGCACAGTGTTGCTGCAGTTGTATCTGGTTGGGAGGCAGTTTGCTGGAAACACAGCTCTTCCTGGGAAACTGTGAGCCTGATAAGCGCCTTCCCCAAGGAGGAGATCAGTGGGTGCCCCATTTTTCTTGTTTTTTTCTGGAAAAAAAACGCACTCTGAGCAGGCCAGCAGCTGCTCTTTTCTTGTTTCTCTGCATTTGTGCAATTCCTAGAGCAGGTCGTGCTGCTGTGGGGGAATGCAGCATGGCATGTTTTTAATTTAGAAATATATATTACTTTTAACTAAAACCCCAGCGTGGCTCTAGAATAATTTGTTAACACTTTGCCCCGCTCCTAAAACATCCCTTGGGCTGGAGCTCCTGTGACAAAGCCCGGCTGCCTCCGTGCGAGGTTTTCCTGGCGCTGACGCTGTTCCCTTTTCCCGCCCAGGCCGGCTGTATGTACGTTCACGGAGGGGTGGTCAACATCCATGAAAACAAACGGACTGGCTCCCTGTTTAAAATGTGGCTGGTGGTGCCCAGCCTGCTGGAACTGTCGTGGGAGAAGCTCCTGGGGTATTTCCCTCATCTAGCAACTCTCTCCAGATCTCAGCTCTTGCACCTTGGACTCACACAGGGACTTGTGGAGCGACTAAAATGAGAACATCTCCCACCTCTGTCCAAGAAGCACTACGTTCAAGAGCCCTTTCCGCCCCCGTCCCCTATTTATGGATACCAAGGATGGTCTTGCTAGGAAGATGGAGGAACCTGCTCAACGCCTTATTCAGCAAATACATTGATGCCTTTCTAGAAGTTTTTATTTTCAGTTGTTGGAAACCTGCTTTTTATTTATGGATATCTAAATTACAGCGTTAATGACAACTGCTCTCTGGGACAAATCCCTACCATGCATCATTAAACTGCCATCAGCACCTGCTTGCAACTTAATTGGGGGGGAGGGAGGGAAGCTTAGGGAATGTCTGAGCTCACGCCTGCCTATGGAGCGTTCGACTTGCTATTCCACAGGCTGCGTCTATCCGGGAGGAGGTTCGGTGCAGAGCAACAGCCAACCTGTTCTTTCTCTTTGGATGCAGCTCGAACCCCTTTAACATCCAGCTGAGCTCTGCCGGAACGAGAACTGCTGCTGCTTGTGCCGGCTTTGCATGCGTCTTGTTGGCACGTCCCATCCTTCCTGGGCTCGGGAAGCGGCCGGAACGTCGGCCGCTTGGCCCGGGCGGCGTTAGCGGCGCGGTGCGAAGCGCCGCTCTCTCCGTTCCTCACCTTTTCATATTGAAAGGTTTGCTTGGAAGACTGCTTAAAAGATGCCACTTAATGGACTACTGTGTAGTTTACTCTGGGTGGTGAGGGCTGGGGGAAGGTTTTGCTTATTTTTTTTTAACCCTTTCTGCTCACGTTGCACTCGGAAAGAGCTAAGGGAGGAAACTTGCCCCATAGGTTTTAAGGCAGCCTGCGGTGAGTCGTACCCGCTTTGGGGTATGAGCCACCACACCAAGTGCTCGTCAGCGGGTGATCTTACAGCAAGTTTCCATGTGCTTTTTATTTCCCTCCTTTCCATCCTTCATGCATTGGATTTTCTCTGGTAGCTCCTTGTTCCTTTGGGGGGTGCTTTGTTGCATGTGGCTTTAATCCATTTTTGTGGGGTTTTCTGATCTTTGGAAATTAACAGAGCACTCATCCCAGGAAATATCTGGAGGGAATATCTATCCCTCTCCACCTCTACGCATGCAGGAGAGGAAGGGACATCTCCTGCTCTCTCATCTTGCTGTCGTTAGCTCAGGAGAACATGCGTAAGTGGTCTTTGAACCCAAATGTCCCCACTAGGCTGGCGTCAGGTTTGTGCAAAACCCTTTTCCTTTAAAATTCGTTTTTAAGTGCCTTTTTTTTTTCCATCAGCTTTTCCTAACACTTCCCCTTGCATAATTTAAGGCAAGCACTAGATGCTGGGTTTTTAGTTCCTTTTTAAAAGTTCCATTTGTCTCCTCATAACCCGCAGCGTTGAATTCACGGTGTTAATCTGAGTGTCACCAACAGATGAAGTCGCTGCTGTCCGTCCACCTCAGGGCACAGCCAGCCCTGCTGCTCTGTCGCAGTGTTACCACTTGTCCCTAATATTAGACTTCCCCAGTTGCTGGGGGTGGCTTTTTGTTGTTGCCGTTCGTCTTTATTGTAATCTTGCTGCTTTTTGATGAAGGCCCAGCACAATAAAGGTTGGCCCTGGCCCCTGAAACGTGTCCTCGGGCCCTCAGATGTGGTAGCTGCTCCTCATCGGTCCGTGTTGCGCCTGCGTTTGCATCGCTCCCTTCTGCTGGAAGCTCTTGGAGCCATGTGGAGCTCATGGGCCTCCTGCCTGACTCCTTGTGGCCTTGACAGCGCTTGTGTCCCCTGGCACAGGCTGAATGTCCCCAGCATGTCTCTGCCTTGTGGGCTCCAGCTGGGAGCCTCTTCCCTGCAGGATCTGATAGTCCGTGTGCCGCTTCTCCTCCTTCCCACCTCCAGCTGGATGAGCTCCTTCCTGAAGGCACCTTTAAACCCATCCCGTCCTGCACCTCCGAGCCAGCAGCTGCCTCGAGCAGTGTCCTTGTTCCATCCTCGGGGGGCTTCATAAGCTGAAAAGCTGCTCTTGGACTAGGATAGGCCCAAAGCAAGGAGGAACAGTGGTAGGTTCTGGCCCTTCCTATCGATTCCTGTTAATTCCCATTCCCGTTCGGCAGAGGTGGGAGGGAAGCCCCTGCCTCACTCCTCCTCTTCCTCACTGCCCTCTTGGCCTCAGCTGAGCTGCAGGAGAACCTGCTTAGCTGCTCTCGCATCCCTCTGTCTCTCCTCTCATCCTTTTATTTTATTTTTTTCCTGCTTGTTAATTAAACTATGTTATCTACGGCCCTGAGCTGTTGAGTCTAGAGTGCTGCCATCAGCCCCGGCTCGATACGAGCACAGGAGCGTTCCCAAACATCTGCCTTAAAGACAGCAGCGTTGGCTGTGAAAAACAGCTCGCTGAGACGGTGTCTTTGCTCCCGAACGAGCCGCTGGCCTCGGAAGGAGACCTGGCTCCTGCTCGGGGTCTCTCGTCAGGCTGCGAGTTGCGTCCCGTGTCCCTGCGGCTCCTTTTGGTGTCCGTGGTGCATGTTGCAATGCGTGCGCATCCGTCCTTCCCTTCCTGCTTGTTGTGACCAAGTGCAGCCCTGGGGAGAGCGGCGCAGGAGCTGTACTTGCCTGTATTTGTGTGTCCCATGGATTTTTGTTGTGGGTTTCTTTTTTTTTTCTAATGCTCTGACCAATAAATCCATCCAATGGGCCTGCTTTGTTCTCTAACCTTGCCCTGGGCTGCTGGCACCCGCCCTTATATCAGCATCCAGAGCCATCACTGAGGAAGAGGAGGCCGGAGCTTTTGTACCTCGTACACCATGAGCCTGAGCTGGATCCCAAAGGAGAGTATCCTGGGGCCCTTCCTAGCCCCCCTGCTCCAAGCCCTTCAAGAGCCGGCGTTGGTGGGTGCCAAGGGGCTGTCCCAACACCACAACCATCGCTGACTGTCACCCAAGGGCCTCCCTCCCTGGCCCTGCGCCCTCCCGAGGGGCTTGGAGAGCTTCCCGCCCGGTGGGGTCCTGCCGTGGACACGGGAGCTGCCTCCCCGGGGCTCGTGCAAGAGAAACGAGCCGATTTCGGGTTTGTACAAAACTGCTTTAATGACAAAACAGCCCCACAAGGAAACGGTTGGTGCGTTTCTAGTGCCATCTGAAAGCCTCCCGTGATCCCGCGGGCCGGAGTCCCGTTGAGGCCCAGCGTGGAAGGGCAAGAGGCTCTTCTCAGGCACCTGCTCCCAGTGCAGCACTTCCCAGGGAAGGGTCCGTCCTCGGGTGCACATGGAAACCTCCTTCAAGACCCTCCACTAAGGCCCGTTTTCCTTCCATCCGCACACGGGTGCTGGAAAGGCCTCAGTGAAGCGCTTGGCCGTGAAGGCTCCTTCTTGGTTCAGGAGGGCTTCCCTGGCCACCCGGTTGTGGTGGCGGCGACGCTCCCAGCCTGCAGCCTTCCCCGCCGTGTTCCCGGGATATGGGACATCCCCCCGTGAGGCCCGGGGCCGGCACGAGGGCTGCAGGAAGCCCAGCCCGGCCTCAGCAGCCACTGGGAGAAGGTGCAAAGAAGTACACGGCCAAGAGGATGAAGTAGACCATCACCAGCACGGTGCCTAGGGCGGAAAGAGCACGTTGGAAGGGGGATGCTCGCTGAAGCAGGAAGGGAGCTGGCAGTTAAGCCACTCCAGCCACTCCAGTTGGGTTAACTTGGGGAGTTAACCCAAGCTAACTCCCACTAGCTTGGGTTAGTGTCCCCAAGGAAACACATCTTCTTGTGCCCAGCCTCAGGAAAAGAGCCATAACTCCCTCTCAAGAAGGAATAGGAGTGGGTTCTCCTTGCAGCTGCTCCCTTTTCCCATCCCAAGCCCAGCCCTGCTCTGTATTTGGTTGCAGGGTGATAGCTACAGCCTTGGCTTGGAACCACCTCGATGGGTCACCAAGAGCCCAGGAATGGCCCAAGTCACCACAAGCCAAGGGCTACAGCAAGTAGGTGACTCCAGGGCTGTGTCCCCTGATCCTTGCAGGGAACCTGAGTACATTCTGAGCCCCAGAGCAGCCTGTGGCCCGGGCCGTACCTTGGAAGTAATCACACTTGCCATCCATGAAGATGTAGTTCATGAGAACCACGCTGAACATGCTGGCGTAGACGTGCAAATCGCTGAAGACCAATGTGAAGTTTGTGGGCTGTGGGGGCAGAGAGGAGTTGGTTTCATGCCCAAGGGGACACACATGTCACCCCTGGGAGCTCCCCTCACAACACGGCCTTCAGGATGTCACCACGGCCCTCAGGACACCAGCATAGGTGCAGCTTCAGCCAAGGGAGCAGCTGTCTGACCCCACTTGCCCCTGCAAGCGGCTGTGCTGGGCCAAGGGTGCCGAGGCAGCAGCAGAGAGGACAGGGACGGTGGCTGTGTCCCCCCAGCGCCCAGGGCTCTCCTGGGCACCACTTACGTAGAAGATGGTGAAGAGCACCAGGATGGGGATCTGCAGCATGCACACCTGGACGGCGATGCAGTTCCCGATCTCGATGCTGGGGAGGAGCAGAGCACCAAGGATGGCACCCGGGTGACACCAGAGCCCCGGCAGCCCCTGGGGTGCCCCGCGGGACATGGGGGACATGGTCCCACCAGAGCATCTTGGCTTTCCCTGCCTTGGAGCTGGGTTTGTAGCACCTGCAGCACCAGTTCCTGGAGGACAGCTTAGCCCGGGGCAAGGACACGGCTGCCTTTGAGACCCAGAGGAGCAGAACCTGCTTCTGGCCCCATTTCCCAGTGATTTTTAAGCCTATTCGTGGCCAAGCACCGGCTTGTAACTGCTGCAGGCTGGAGCCAAGCAGGGGAAACCTCAGTCCCTCAGGGCATGGGGACTGTCCCCGTGGGGCACCGGCCTCCTAGGGCCACCTCACCTCAAGCTCAGGTTGTTCTGCAGGGCGAACTGGATCCCGTTGACAATTTCGGGCAGCTCGGGCACCATGGCCAGCACGGTGACGCCGATGAAGTACTGCGAGGAGCGGCGGCATCAGCGCCCCTCACCACGCCAGCCCTGGTGGGCAGGGTGGCCAGGGGGGCTTCCTGGGCCCATGGGCCCCACCGCGATCACCTGGGAGATGGTGGAGCTGGTGAGGATGGGGCTGATGTGCTCCGTGGCCAGGTCGGCGCAGGCCGACATGCAGAGCGTGGACAGCAGGAGGATGAGCAGGGCCCTCCACCGAGACCAGTGGACCATGGCGCTGTGGTGGTGGCCGGGCACTGGGGGCAAGGAGCCAGGAGCCAGTCAGGAAGCCCGCGTGGGCCTCCCGGGCTAGGAAGGGGAGCCGGGGACGCGGCAAGGCTGGCGCTCACTGTGACAGTCGCTGATGTGGATGTCGTAGATGTGCGAGTGAGTTTTCAGGGTGAAGAAGAGGCCGATGAGGTAGGCAGTGGGGAGCAGCAGGGACACCGTGTACACCAGGGGCCTGCGGGACACGGCCCTCAGCCCCATGGCAGAGCCCCTTGGAGGCCACGCCGGCTCCTCCAACAGGGCTGGGGACACTGGTGGCCATTCCGTGATGGAGGCTGATGGACACATCGGGCATGGCAGTGACATGCCCAGGCCAGGGGACACCCAGCCAGGGAGCTGGCAGCACCCTGAGGAGCCGTGAGCCAACCCAATGAGACCCAACCCAACGCAGGGACCGAGGCCACCCCGGGTGACACTTACTGGACGTGGCTGTAGTAGAGGGTGCCGTTGCTGTGCATCTGCAAGAGAGAGACCAGCCACAGCGTGAGCATCGTGGCCATGGCCCGGGTACCTGCTGCCACCCACCCTGCAGCTCGCAAGGAGCCCCATGGGCCAGAAAGACCCCCCGTGGTGGCCCCGGCGTGGGTGCCAACCAGGCGCGCTCACCAGGTCGAAGTGGCAGCTGTGGCAGAGGTAGCGGCCCAGCGGGTTCTGGGTGACGTTGTGGCACTCGCCGCACACCAACTTCCCGTACACCTTGGAGAAGAGCGTTTTTTTTTTGCCAGCGGCGCCCCCACCGCTCCCCTCCCACGGAGAGGAAGAGCAGGGCCGAGCTGACGCCCGCCGAGCGGCTGTTGAACCGCTGCTCCTGGTGCCGGATGCCTCCGATGACCATGCACAAGCCCTGCGCGACGCGGTGCCGTGAGCGCCTCCCCGGCGAGGGGCTCCTCTCCGCCGCGCGCAGGGGAACGGAGGGTCCCGCTCACCGGGACCAGGAGGACGCAGCCCACGAGGGTGCCCGTCAGCGCCGCCTTGACGATCTCCTCGTAGCACTTGTTGCCCTCGCGGGCGCCCTTGATGAGCGCCGTGATGTAGAAGGTGAGCTCCGTGATGGAGCCGAAGGTGGCGTTCACCACCGCCCCCACCGCGAAGTTGCTCTGCGCCGAGATGCTGGGGGCACGACCAGAGGGTCAGAGAATCATGATGGTTGGAAAAGACCTTCAGGATCATCGAGTCCAACCGCAAACCCACGCCCACCCTGCCTGCTAAGCCATGTCCCCAAGCGCCTCATCTACATGTTTCTTGGACACTGTCAGGGACGGTGACTCCACTGCTTCCTTGGGCAGACTGTTCCAAAGCGTCACCACTCTTCCCATGTAGAAATTCTTCCTAACATCCAACCTGAACCTCCCTGGCACAACTTGAGGCCATTTCCTCTTGTCCTATCCGTAGTTATTCGGGAAAGGAGACCAACCCCTGCCTCACTACAGCCTCCAAGCAGTTGTAGAGAGCAGTACTACAGTAGCAGACTACATAACCCCGGCTCCCTCAGCCGCTCCTCGTAAGAGCCGTGCTCCAGCTCCTTCCCCAGCCTCGCTGCCCTCCTTTGGACGCACTCCAGCCCCTCCATGTCCTTCTTGTAGCGCGGGGCCCAAAACTGAACACAGGATTCGAGGGGCGGCCTCGCCAGCGCCGAGCACAGGGGGACGATCCCTGCCCTGCTCCTGCTGGCTGCGCTGCTCCTGATACCAGCCAGGAGGCCCTTGGCCTCCTTGGCCACCTGGGCACGCTGCCGCCTGTCCACCAGCACCCCTAGATCCTTTTCTACCACGGAGCTCTCCAGCCGCTCTGCCCCAGGCCTGTAGCGCTGCGCGGGGTTGTGGTTATGACTGAAGTGCAGGACCCGGCACGTGGCCTTGTGTCACCTCACACAGTTGGTGTCAGCCCATCGATCCAGCCTGTCCAGATCCCTCTGTAGCACTTTCCCACCCTCAAGCTGATCAACTCTTCCTCCCAGCTTGGTGTCGTTCAAGATACTGAATGACATGTACTCATCTCTTCAAGATACTGAAGAGGACGGGCCCAACACCGACCCGCTGGGGAACACTGTTCATGACCGATCACCAGCTGGATTTAACCCCATTCACCACCACTCTGGGCCCGGCCATCCAGCCATTCTTCACCCAGCCAAGAGTCCACCCGTCTAAGCAATGAGCTGCCACCTTCTCCTGGAGAAGGCAGTGATAGACGGTGTCAAAGGCCTTACTGAAGACTAAAAGTAGGCCATGTCCAGTGCCTTTCCCTCATCACTAGGCAGGTCAGCTGCTCGCAGACGATCAGGCTGATGAGGTACAACCTGCCCTTCATGACTCCATGTTGGCTTGACCTGGTGGTCGCATGCACTCATCCCTCAACACCATCTGCTTCACCTTCCCCAATACCGAGGTCAGGCCTGTAGTTCCCTGGATCCCCCATCCGACCCTTCTTGTAGATGGGCATCACATTGGTGTCCCCGCTCACCTGGCGATGGCCATGCCGATGTAGTAGGAGAGCGGCATGATGGAGAGCAGGGCCAGGGTGAACTTCACGGGTGAGCTCGTCAGCCGGTTGCGCCCGTCCACGTAGCCCAGCACCAGCGTCACCACCACCAGCGGCAGCAGGTCTGCGGTGGCCATCAAGGAGGTGACCCAAGCAGCGGGTGGCTTTTTTTGGGGTTGGCGCCCGACCCGCTTTCCCTCACGCCCGACACCAGGGAGCTTTGCAAAGGATACTGACGGCGAAGACGTTGATGCCGTCCACGGTGTACTTGTAGTAGTAGGCGTTGACGGCGCGGTAGCAGCACAGGATCACCTCGGCCTCCAGCGGCACCTCCGTCTGCC